TGTGCTTATAGTTAAGTCTCCCAGACGACTTAACTCTAAGTTTTCTACGAACTATTTTCTGGAAGACTTTTTAGACGAGTTATCTAATAAGTCTTCTACGAAGTCTTAGGCAGTGAAGTTTAAATACATGTCTGCATATAGCCGCTTTTAAACATATGTGTCCTTTGCCACCATTGTAAGTCAGTAACAGTGGAGAAGGTCTGTTTGGTATGGGTTTCCCATAAATAACACCCAATTCTGGCAGAGCATAGTACGCCCACACCTGGAGAACTTGTATAAACCCATCAATAATGTAAGATCCAGTCAAATCTTTTCCCTTCAGAGAGTCCATCAGTACCTTAAACGCCACCCTCCCCCATGATAATTCACAAATTGTTCTAAATTCATCACCAGCCTTGCAAGACTAGCTCTTGTAGCAGTTGGGTACTTTCTCCCTTTAATGAATCCAGAGGAATCTCGAGACCACTCTTGGCATCTCTCACATGCTGCTATTATCTGTTCAGTAGTTGGCCCAGTATCGAGATCAACAGCCACCAACTCCACAAAATATTCATCTCCTTCGTAACCTCACACCTTGGATTTTCCAGGTCCTGGATGTAATCACAATTCAGACCAGTGATGTGTTTAAACTCTATCAGTAAAAACCTCACCGGTTGTGGACCAACAAGACACCAAAGCTCAAACATCTTTTTGATGTCAAGCTGGAAACAGAGCATGAAATGAACCAGAATTGATGCCCATTCAAACGCAATCTCCTTGAACATAATGAACACTCCCAACCTTGACTCCTTGAGCTCCTCCCTTTCATCATCATGAAGATCATCTTTTAGAGCATCAATCAAATTTGAGTCATCAGTATGATACGAAATGCTTCTTGTTGGATGTGGCTCCTCTCCTAAAGTAAACATTCTCTTTGGGAGTTCTGGCAAATCCATTTTCCAGTCTCGAAAACAATAAAAAAAAAACATGTAAATTTTGGTGAGGACACACTACAAATAAAATGTGTATTGATAGCAGAATATGATAGCAGTGTTTTCTAAAGTTCTATGGAGACTAATATTTGTGTTTTAAACACCGCTATTTGGAAAAAAATAGTGAGCGGCAATAAAAAAAAATGTTATACCGCGAATACTTAGTGAAAAAAACATAAGCGCCAATGTTATTCTGGTTTTCCCTTTTAACAAAACTCATTCTCTTTAAGTAAGGTTGGTAAAAATTCCGACAAAAAAAAGGAATCTTAAAAAAAAAAGACACTCTCTCTCGAGCATCTCAACTTGACTTGGTTCAAAGAATAACTTGATCTCCCTTTTTCATATCGATTTCGAGGTCTACTCCCTTCTCATCTCTATTTCGATTTTGATCTCCACTCCCTCGCCTCATCTCGCTTTCGGGTTCGATTCTCATCCCGAGTTCGGTTTGATTTTCATCCCGATTGGGGTTTGATTCTTAGAGATTTAGGGTTTATTTGAAGCTTCTTTTCAGTTTGTGGTTTAATTGAAGCTTTGTTTCAGATTTAGGGTTTACCTAAATAGATTTATACATTTAGGATTTCCTTGATTTCATCCCGATTGGGGTTTGATTCTTAGAGATTTAGGGTTTATTTGAAGCTTCATTTCAGTTTGTGGTTTAATTAAAGCTCCGTTTCATATTTAGGGTTTACCTAAATAGATTTATATATTTAGAGTTTCCTCGATTTTAAGCTTTGTTTCAGTTTTGACTTATTAATTTTAATTTCTTTCAAATTCTTAACAGATTTCTCTTCTCTTCAGTGTCAATCAAGCACCAGAACACATCATTATATCCTAACCACAAGACAGGTTGTTCCCTTTGTTCTTATTTGTTGTTGTAACTAGTTATTACATCGCTTTGGGATTGAGCTACGTATGTTTGATTCATGTGGTTTGCTTGTGACTGGTATATGTTTGATTCGTGTACTTACTGATTTTTCTTTAAGTGATGTGTTTTATGCTTGCTTGTGTTATCTCTGACTCTTCTTGTGTTTGTAAGTCGCCTGGTGTAAATTATTCACCAAACAACTTACCCGTTAGTCATCTAGACCCTAAAATAAATTAACTAACTAAACACTTCATAAAATCAAATTAAATTTAATAAGTGTTTACTATGCACATAAATAAACTCATATAGATAAAAATTAATTTAAAACAAAACTGTAACATCACGAGTTGTGATATACGGAAAAGTTTAAGAGGATTGATTTGGCTACCTATGACATCAAAGTGCACTTACCTTTTCGGGAGCACATCCAGAGAGAATTCCAGAGTTAAGCGTGCTTGAGCTAGAGTAGTCAAAGGATGGATGACCTATCGGGAAGTGATTTGCGATACCGTGTAACTGAGGCTAAAGCACAGGGAAAGGTCATGTGGTCATTGCAGGGTCAGTAAACATGTATCGAGAGCCTTGGAAAATTAACGGACCTGCCATTATAACGGGATGGGGCCCATGGGCCGAGTGAGCGGGCGTGGGTGGTCCATTAGCCGTGGGCAGTCGGGGCGTTATAAGTGGTATCAGAGCTGGTTAGCCATTTCAGTTCTGACCTGAGAGGCGTCTTAAGATCTGTCGTGGGGCGGAACGAGGACGTTGCGTTCTTTGAGAGGGGGTGAATTGTAACATTCCGAGTTGTGATATACGAAAAAGCTTAATAGAATTGATTTGGCTATCTATGTCACCAAAGTGCACTAACCTTTTCAGGAGCACATCCAGAGAGAACTCCAGAGTTAAGCGTGATAGAGCTGGAGTAGTCAAATGATGGGTGACCTATCGGGAAGTGATTTGCGATACCGTATAAGTGAGGCTAATGCACGGGGAAAGGTCATGTGGTGATTTCAGTGTCAGTAAACATGACTCTAGAGCCTTGAAAAATTAACGGACCGGCTGTTGGAATGGAATGGGGCCTGAGTGAGCGGGCGTGGGTGGTCCATTAGACGTGGGCGGTCGGGGCGTTATAAAAACGTTCAAGCTCTCCAAAATCTAACCTAAGAATACATAAAATACTACAAAGTATGTTGTCAAACCCTAAAACCAAAGAATATCATGATTAACTACTTTCTCTCATCTATGTTGGAAACTATTCAATTTTATTATAGTGTAATTTGCATCACTTAAAATTGTTTATAGTTAATTACATGATTTTCAATTTTCACTTGTCAAAATATTTTTAAAAAAATTTAAGAATTATTTTTAAGATCAACTACTTCAGACGACTAACTTGTAGGTCGTCTAGACGACTTCCAGCATCTTAGACGACTCAGACTACAAACTGGGGCAATATTCAAAAAAAATAATTTCTATTTTTTTTTGGTCACAAATGGCTGGCTGTAATTTCACAAGATTTTTAAGTTAGTTTTGCATTTGATTCAAGTTTGGATATAGATTTACAATCAAAACATGTTTTAAATCATATTTGGCACATTCCCCTCTATTTTATAATCATCTGCTACAAATTCCCAAATATATAATAATTTTAGAAATAATTAGCAAAATAAAATACATATATATTAGTTCAAGAAATATATAAAAAAATGTTCTTAGTCAAACAAATATCTCCTTTCTTTCTCAAGTTTTAATTCATTACCAACGATTATTTACATTTACTTTATTCATAATTCATGTTTATTTTGATGGACCTTTTAGTCTATTGGAGATTATTGATAGATATGTTAAGATCATTTGTTTATAGAAATAAATCATAAATAAGATTAAATTTTTGTGGTCAAAAATAAGATTATATTTTTTCTTTTGACTTTTTTAAATACCTAATTAGATTTTAATTTGCGCTTTGAAAGCGCCTCATTTTTTTGTTATAATCTAATACTAAAATACCAAAGATGATATGTATTTTTATTATAAAAATATTTTCATTCATATTATGAAATTCTGATATAGATTTTCAATTTCAAAATCAAAATGAGTTTCTCTTACTATATATAGCTAACTAAGTATTTTTTGAAATGAATTATCAAGGTGGATAGTGATCCGTGTTATAATAGTGAATTTATTTTGTATATACATCTAAATTTTGAAATAAAAATATTTTGACTTATGTTTTTAATTCCTAATTAAATTATGGTTGACAATTTATAATAAAACTGTATTTCTTTACACTTTTTTAAATCATATACATAATATGAAATCTTTAATAAATTTTTAATACGATATATTTATTTTTTCTTCCAATTATAGTTATAAGTATAAATTATTTATTAGAAACTTTATTTTCTGTTTTATTGGGATTATAAAAATATTTTCGATTTTTATTTAAGAATTAAATCTGACACTTATTTTGGAATGTGCAAAATAAATAATATTATATGCAGTATAATGTATAATTTTAAATTTATTCCCATATTAGAAAAATTAATTTGTGTTATGTTGTTCTTTTGTTTGAATTAGATTAATTGAGTTTGTACATTTAAATATTATAGTTAAGTTTTTTAATAATCAAATATAAAAGTCAACTATCTATATTAATATGATGATAATATATATTTAAATAAGAAAAAAGTAAAAAGTAAATCCAAGTAGGAAAAACACCCTTCATACTATCAAATGTAAAAATTGAAAAAGAAACTATTTAATTAAATTATATGTAAAACTATATTAGGTAAATCAAAATTTATAAGATATTAATTTGGTTATTTAATGAATATTGTTTGTTAAAACCTTTAAAAATCTCTTCAATTTATTGTAGATAATTAAAAAGTTTAATATTTAATATAGTTTAATAGTATTCACTTATAATTATTGAGAAAAATAAAAGGTTAATTCAAAATTATATTTTAGTTTTAATAATATAGATTTGCAAATCCTCTCAAGCGTCTTGGAAAACATCTGTCATCTGAGCACAAATATGAGATAAGATTTGTGCATCTCCATGTTTACCAAATGTCATCCAGTGGAACCACATATGCCACGTCTGTCCAACTAATATAATAAAAAATAATGGAAACCATATGATATAGTAAAATATTATTATTAACAAACAAAATCTTATTGATGTTAGAAATGGCAGCCAAATTTCACATCTCTTCTTCCTTTAGTCACAAGGCCAATGATTCGACAACTTCATCATCTTCCTCGTATTCATCGTTGCTTGTTCTGCCTCGATTCCTCTGTACACCATCTTCATCAGGCTTTACACAGTTCAAGCTTCACGCCAAATTAGGTACTTTATATCTCTTTCGAATCAGGATTTTCCTATCTCGTCTTTTTTTATTAAGAGAAAGATTATCTTTATCCCTGTTCTTGCTTAAGGTGGAGGTGATGGAGAAGTGAAACCGACAGAAAAGAAGAAGTTCATAACCAAAGAGGAAGAACCAGAACAGTTAGTTTTTAGTTACCCTATCATATCCACCTCTTAATTTCCTATCACAAAATGGCCAAATTATGAAAACGTTATATCTAGAAACAAGAGAAGTATAACTTTAGTTAAAAAAAAAAGGGGATTGTTTACTCTTTTGCTGTTTATTATCTGACTAATCACATTTCCAAAATAAAATTTTCTTTTTGTAACCACACAACTAAAATCTGATTCCCATTGTTAGTGAGAAAGAGTTACCTGACCTGCATGTAAGTAATACACATTCTTAGTTTTACCGAGCTAAACGATATGTAGTGGTGTGGTCTAACCACTGCTAGCGTACTTATTCGAACCGGAACTACTTACAATGTTAGGTTTTGTGATTTACTCTTGCCCATTTTTTCCATTAATTCTTAGGTATTGGCAAAGCGCTGGCGAAAGAGAAGGGGAGAATCCGATGAAGACGCCTCTCCCTTACATAATCATTTTTGGTATGTCAACTCCATTCGTCATCTTAGCCATTGCTTTTGCCAATGGTTGGATCAAAGTTCCTATTCGCTGAGTATTTCATTTTCTCTTCTGCTTCCCTTGTTTAAGTCTCTAAACATGAAATGAATCTTAGACGTCTTTTTTCGGCTGTAAAAGAAGTAAAAGAAAACAAAGTATGCGTTTATATTGTATGATTCTCGCTTGCATCTTTCGCTTTTGCACTCTTTTCTAATTTATTTAATTTTTGAGTTCTTTATAAACAAAAACCACGAATCATATTTGGAAATTTTGCAAGTTTCGTTAATCTGATTTGTAGGCTTTAAAACTCGAACTTGAAAGTGGCAAAAAATAATCGAGGAAAACTCGACTAGCTTCAAAGATATTGATGCCATAAGTTCCAGTGATTCCCCAATATATACAAGTAAAAGAAATAAGATGAGTGACGGGAAAGGTGCTCAGAATCGATCTTTGTGTATCCTAAAACCCATACGTATTTGGTAGTAATTGTATATTAAAAAGTAGGAAAGATCATAAAATCGGCATTAGGTATTTGATACTAACTGTGTGTAAAAAATTAGGAAAGAAAAAATCGAAACATTAAGGGGTTAACAAGAATCGAATACAAAGGAGCTAAGCTACAATTGATATTGAACAAAAGAGATGAAGTCCAGGTCGATGTTAATGGTGATGAATTGCTAGGTCTCTGAATGTCCTCTCTTTCACTTCTCTTTATTCTTTTATGGCTGATCTTCTGTTAACTTCCTCTGATATTCTCTCTCGTTGTCGGTTAGAAAGTGGCGATGATCTCGGGACTTCTTTTGACCTGGTCAAGGCGGGATGTGAGCTCGTCGATTTGTGCTGGTTTAAGTTCGACTTAGAACTCATCGCTTCGACGTCGCAGCCAACTGGGTTGAGGTGATTACCGATTTAGGGCCCAACAATCTTGATACAGTCTCGTTTCTAACTATTTTTTACTCTCACTGTTTTATCTAACACTAAGCTTCTCTCGTATTCTCGTAATTATTTCTCTTGTATGTTAATGGACCGTGACTTCAACGTCACACAAGCAAATAGAGAGCAAGAGAATCCACATACGAAATCTTATAGAATTCCCCCAAAACTTCTGAGTGTATGTCTTTTCAGGATCGGGATCTGAATTCACTATATCTAACATTTGCAAGAGCTCGATGACATTAACAATGTCAGCTTGTTATATAATGAAGAAGAAAGTTGCCACTAAGATAAAGATCATCTACTTCTGACCCTTCCTTATATATATTTCAACTTGTTACAGTTTGGGTCCTTGATAGGTTGTTCTTCTAGATCAGTTAATGGTGGATGATGAATGTCTTGGAGTTTGAGCACTCTTTTGTAGACGATGGACTTCTCTTCTAATCTATGGATTACTTTAAAGATGTGTTGCTACTCTTGAGACACATGATCACCCTGCTTAGTATCTAAGATGGTTCCACGGGAGATCACTCTCTTTAGTGTCAAGGTCAATTTTCTTGTGCTGAATAGATGATAACCTAAAGTTTCATTTGATTCATGATTCATCTGCAAACTCAGCTTGTACACGACATAAAGAAGAAAAGACATGTCGATTCTTAAGTTAAGAAAACATAAATGTACAGATCAATGGTATAGTAAATCCTATTAATAATTTGATTTGGTTAAATCATAATGCTAGTTGCTCTTGGTAGGCATGGACATTCGAGGTTCCAATCGAATTTCAATTTTGTTTCATTCGGGTTTTTAATTTTTGGGGTTTGTGAATTTCACCCTCATCGGATACTATAAAAGTTCGGATCGGATTTGATTCGGGTTTAGCCGGACTTAGACCTGAGTTTAGTTACATGTCTAAGATTTGGTTGAATCCAAAATAGTTAATGTTTTGAATATTAATGGGGTTATCGGTTTCAAAAATATTAGTTTGTACTTTATTAAATTCAATATATTTCCAATCTATTCAATAAATTTATGTGCGTGTCTTCCTTAAACTATATTGTTGTTCTTCAAAATAACTTTGCGAGACTTTTCTAGCAATTGTATGAGATTAGTCCTTGAACTGTATGTCACAACATAAGACATATCATGATTCATGACAAATCAAAGCCTTCTACAAACCAGGAGCATACATAATGAAATATTAAAAAAAAATTGACAATCAATAACTCTATAAACGTAAGAAACACTTTAAATATATAAAACAACATTGTTTAAACTTCAGAAGCAAACTTATCAATAATTGAACTTGAAATCGAATTGTTAAAACATAAAACATTAATATTGACCAAATACAAAAAAATATATATTAGATTAAGTATTTGAGTTAATTATTCATCTAACAAATAATTATTTTAGATACCCAATAATATCTTAGTGTACTTTGAAAACATATTAGGGGTTTAGATGGGGTTTGGTACAAGTCCTTTTTGGAATTTTTGAATTTTAGGGATTTTCGGATATCTATGGGTTTAGATTCGGTTCAGATAAAACCCATAATCTGAAATACCAAAAACAACATCCAATCAATATTTATGTCGAGTTTGTATTCATTTTTATAGGGTTAGATTCGATTCTGATTTTTGGATTTGGTTTATTTTCCCAACCATACTTCTTGGTTTACTTAAAACTAATTACAAATTATAAAAAGTTTAAACCATCCATCCAGTTCTCTTTGTTTTTTTTTTTGGTTTTCTCCTCTTCCTTCTTGTGCACAAGTTACACTAAGTGTTGGAGTTCTTTCTAATGATCATTAACTTTTGCTCTTGTCAATCCTCTTTGGGAAGCTTCTATGTGTTGATGATCATTCAATACCTAATGTAGGAACCTGGTTGTACACTTCTACTGGTGGATAGGAAAATCAACTTCTAATACTGCGCAAGGAACCACAGTCTTCCTAGGAACATGTATCCTTTTCACTCTTTTGTGAAACCCAACAACTTCTTCGGCAAAGATATGTCTTCTCAGATGTTGAGTGATAAAAAGGTGGGATGCTTCAGACTTGTACTCTCTATTCTCAGTCGGCTCCAATTCTACTCTGTATCCTGGCATTCAAGCAGTGTGCAGAAAGATTTGGCAAACATACTCGGTATGGCGTGGCGGATGTAGATCACGACTCGGCTGCTCTTGTCGATCGATGCTACCATGTTGTTGTCGATCGATTATCTGATGTGGTTGTCGATCGACATCATTTTATTTAACTCGAGCTAGGGTGGGAGGAAGTGGGTGTTGAGCGGTGAAGTACGAGTGGATCATAGATCGAACAGTCTTGTCTGATACCAAAAGTTTGTCGATCGATGCTCGGTTGATGGTGGGGATCGAAACTCAGATGACAATTGAGCGTTTCTCAGCTGTTGGTATCGATCGACACCAGTACGAGCTGCCTACAGACATAGAACTTTCAACCTAGAAAAGCATCTTTTTCCAGCTTTGCCTGCTCAAGTGCTTCCCCAAATCCATTATCTAAGATGTCATGAACCTGGTGTCTTGCATCTTGACATGGGTATCTAAGGTCTTTAATTCTCTATTCACCTCTTTGCAGAGAAGATCCAACCTCAGATTCAAGTGTTCAGTCGTCTAACTGTTGAACTTTCAAAAGCTTCTCTATCATAGATTCCATCTCTTCTACATGGCACTGATCCTCATTGATATCACTCAAATTACCATAAGGAGTGAATTACTCTCATCAAAAGAGGTTCAATCGTAGTACTTAGGGATCGAATCCACAAGGAACTAGAGACACAAAAGATATAATCCTAAGTGATTAAGCTAGGTTGAAAAAGGTTTAAAACGGTAAATAAAATAGTAGTAATGGTAAGTTGCTAAAGAGAATAGGATTTGGTTTAAAAACAATGAAGGAAAATAGTTAGATTCAAGGTTACTATTCAGAAAATCAGGATTATAGATCCATGGATGTCTTAACGAATTGCTTGCAAATATAAGAGAACTTAAATCCTTAGACAAATCTATAGCTGTCGCTAGTTAGACTCGTCCATTGATCTGATTGCCGACTGCATCGATCGATGTTTCTATCGCAGTGTCGATCGATGTTTCTATCGCAGTGTCGATCGATATAAGCATGTCGTCGATCGATATTAAGTATCAGATCGGATCAAACTATTGTTCACCCAAGAATTTCTATAAGATCGGCTATCGCATCGTGCCTTAATAGAGTCTGGGTTTAGCCAAATGATTTCAGGAAGATGACTATTAGATTAGTCACTTCATAATCAATACTCTAGGTAGCAAGTCTAGAGTAAGCATTAAGGTTCATTTGGATAATGAATATAACAACTCAACAATCCATAGTTGGGGCTAATCCCTCATAACTATTTGAACCCCAAATCTAACATATGAATCTACTCAGACATAGCCAAGAGATTCATAGCAAAAGAATAAGAAAAGAAAATACTTTTATTGCTAAATAGAATAGAATACAAAACTTTTTTCAAAACTTCCTATAGGCATAGGTATAAATAGGGAGTACAATTAGGTTAAAAACTCGTCAGGGGCAGTCTTGTAATTTGGTGAGAACTTGGGCTTCAAGTTGGCCAAATAAATCTTGCTCATCACGCTCTGTATCGATCGATGGTATATTGCGTACATCGATCGATGGAGGATCTCGACTTCAACTTCTACGGAAGCGTCATCGATCGATTACACAGGGTGTGTATCGATCGATTACACAGGGTGTGTATCGATCGATATGTGTCTCTTATATCGGATCTTCGTAGTCATCTTGGAAAACTCTTCTTTAAGCACCAAAAGACACCTAAATCATCACTTTACCACAAAATGCTTCTGAACCTGAAAACATACCTAATAGACTCCAAAACATAGATAATTATAATAAAAACATATAGAAAATATGACCAAAAGCGGGTCAAAATCATGGTCTATCAACTTCCCCAGACTTAACCTTTTGCTTGTCCTCAAGCAAACATTAAGTTAGTCTTTGAAAAGAAGTTTAAAAAGAGCAGGGACTCAATCAAAATCTTAACTTAAAAATCATAACCTCTTACTTTGTTGCAAACCACATCTTATTCCATCAACTACATGAGTACATTATACCATATCCTAGCTTAGCAGCCTAATCATCTAGCCAATCAACTTAAACATTCCTTGTCTGTCTATCCCCTCTACTGATTTCATTTATGCATAAAAATAAAGGTGTAGGCTTTACTTTGGGAGTATCGATCAAGGAACACTTGGATT